CACCCCCCCCCCACCAGAGGAGGCTCTAAGCTGGCCAGGCAGCACACATGCAGTCCTCCGCTGAGGTACACATACCACAAGTGACAGCAATGCTATCATTTGTATTACCTACACGAGAAGAAATACCAACTGTAGATGGATCTGATTCAGTGTCCACCCATGTCAGTAAGATCCTTTCCAGTGACCCCAGAAGGATCTTTCATTCAGTTCTGAGCAGTATACAAAGGTTGGCAGATACAGGAGGCTACCCCTGCTTCCAAGTACAAGTCATTGAGTTTGTAGATAATTCAATGCAAACACAGTCCTGTTAAAATTCAGGTAGCAACACAGCAGAGCCTGAGATCCCACAGCAACTGGAGGACACTGCAGGTCTGTAGACATTTGCTCATATGCATTTGGAAATACTCAGTAGCACAGGGATGTTTCTCGGGAAGACAAAAAGAAAGGCTTCCCTGTTATTACCATTTTGTTAAGGAGCCTAGAACACATCAGGGTTTTGTTTGCCAAAGGCCCAGCAGATGTTAGAGGTGGAATATAGCAGAGTGCTCTGTTCACTCTTGAGCAGAGAGGTTTCTCCTGGATCTAAGGTGGACAATTATAACAGGCCAGGAACCAAACACACAGGAGAGTGCCTCTGTCCTGAACGTGCCAGCCAGTGTCAGGAGGAAGGTTGTCCACTGCCCGGGCTATACTTACAGGAGTCTGGAAGCAACAGTAGAGCTTGGTGAGGAATGGGTGGTTCCTTGCCAAGGAAAGGATGCGTTTCTCGGTCATGGTGCATTCAACATCGTCATCTTGGAGAATGACGTCCTTCTTCAACACCTTCACTGCATAGAGCTGCCCACTCTCTTTCATCTTGGCAAGCATCACCTAAACCAAAGGGGAGGGAGAATTGCAAGGGCTGAGCCCTCAGTCTCTATGAGCAACACAGAGCCTCTCGCACCTTCTTGCACTAGAAAGGTCAGTTATCTCATGACCAGGCTTGTGGATGCAAGTGAGTCAGCCTGTTAGTACGAGCATCAGTGTACGATCGATGACACATATGCTACTGCCTGCAGCAGGCTTCTCTGGAGAGAAATGCCCACACACGTTGCTCCAACGTCTGGCACGGGGCTCGCTGGTTGAAGCTCATCCACCATGCCAGGGCAAACCCCCTGAGCCGTGCCACATCCACCCCACTCCCCTCCTCAGTTATCAAATTTAAATGCACCATTTCACATTGGCTTTGTGGCAAAGCAGAGAAATGAAACCCCCATCTCACTGCATTTGAAACCACTGCCTTGTTTCCTTTAAAGGAGAAGTCTTTACATGCTCCAAGAAATGCTGCCCAAACGAGTGCTAATGCACACACTTGCAATTTCTGGTATGGGCCCTGGCATGCAGCTGTTCCTTTGGTTGCTACCTTTTTTCTTTTTTGTGATATCCAATTCTTCCCTTTGCTGTCAGCCTGCTTTCTCTTCCCTCTTCTCCCCGCTCTCTGTAACCAACCTTGTTGCACAAAGCATACTCCACTGGACAGCCTGCGTGCCACATTATGAAATAACTTCATCTGCCTTGGAGCTCCTTAAATAAGGAATGTGGTTTTCCCCAAAAGAGCCACGAATAACTCTCACCTTTCCAAAACTGCCCTTTCCCAATACACGAAGGAAGGTTAAGTCTTTGATCCCAAGTTTGCTCACTGAACTTTCACTAACGTTGTTGCCGTCTTTCAGGCTGCCTTTTCCCTGATGTCTCAAAGTAGATCTGGAAACCAGCTTCTGCAGAGGAAAGTAAATAAGAATCAGTCTGCACAGAAATTGTACTTTTGCCTCAGAGGTGTACACAAGTAGTCAATGTACCAACCTGGGCATTTAGGCCCTGTTCAGATGCGCTGTACAGCCACTGGAACAGAAAGCACATTGGTACCACCACCCCGCATAGCTGTTAGGTGTGATGGGCCAACCTCGGCACTGCCCAGAGCTGCGCTGAGATGTCAACACTGGCTCCTGACCTGGGCATTTCAAGTTGTAAACCCAGCAGATTCAAGAGGCAAGTCTGCCTCTCTCCATCCTCACTCCCCCCAAAAATAAGACAATAACTGTAGAAATCCAAGTCTCCTATCTAACATCAGAGCAAGAAGGACTGCGTAATTTCTGCAATATGTAAAGTGCTGGTGAAATCTAGAACCTGAGCAGATTTCATCTGAATCTTCTAGGTTTCTACCTGATTTTAAGACTTACTCAAAGCCCCGTTCAGTGGGACCCAAACTTCAAAATATCTTTCTTTCCCACAGCTGGGATGCTGGCTTCCTCCACTGCTGTAAATTCGACGGAAGGCTGTTCATTCCCACACCAGCAGTGAGGTGTCCACATTTTCCAGAACGGTACCACTATTAGCACACATTTCTAGAGCTTCTGTTTTTGCAGTATACAAAGATCAAGTTGACCTCCAGTGCCCTTGGTTCACCGTTCTCCAGGTATGAGTGCGCATATAAACCACGAGCACTTTTATTCAGTTTATTAGCCCAAACAAAGTCACACAGACTTCTTGAGCTCCACCTTGTGACTACTTCGGTGTAAAGCAAAATTCCTCCTGCACAGAAGACTTGTCTCGCTGCCACAGAAATGGCAACCCTGGCCATGGGGAAAGAACCAAGAGCATTCAGGACAGCACCCAGCAAAACTCCCAACAGACTTAAGCTTACAGCACAGTCTGAACACTTACCTAGAGCCTTTAGTTCACAAATAACGAGAAGAGATTGTTAAACACCAAGCACAGATTTTTATTTTTCTGGTTTTCGTCTCCTTTTGATGTGCAGATGAAGCAAACAACAAATTCTAACAAGTGCTGATTTTTACAGAACTGGGAAGGGAGCGTGGGACTTGTGTTTCCCTGCACCTCCCAGGATGATAACTGTCCCCCTGACCTGCTACGGCATGAAGAGCAAAGATAAGATTAAGTCTCATTTGCTACAAACCAGTTGAAATCAAAAGGGGCAGCACAGCCTAACGAGCAGGCTACGCTGAAACAGCATCATGTGGTCAACTGGTGTAGCTAACTGTATGACATTATTTACCAGGTCTGGCAAGTATGTTTTGGGTTTTAATATTTTCTTTTTGGTCAAATAAAAATAAAGAGACCAACATTTTATTATGGGTTATTGTGTTTTCAAGCAAACTCACTTTTCAAAAGTGCTAGCAGAGGAAACATGGTGAAAACTTAACAAACGACAGCTCTAATTTCCATGACCCTTTATGGGCATTTTCACTCAAGCTCTTACAGTTGTTTTAAACTCTGAATAGACTCAGATACGCAAGAGCTGGATTTTCAGGATCTCTTAAGCACTGAGAAGCAGAAATTGTACACGTACGTCCCAACCCTAGCAACAAGCTCACTAGGACCCTGGCTTGGACAGCAAAGACCAGAGATGACGTTGTGTTGATAAGGACCACGGATTTTACCTGGGGAAACTATAGAGAAGAGTGAACCTGTGCCCCCCAAACCACTCAGAAAAACAGTAACAAAGCTGGGAAGAGGACCCAGGCCTCTTGCTGAGCTCTTATGCTCTCTTCCAAGCCACATATGCAGACAGTGCATTTGTGTTTGCAGGAAAGGTAAAAAAAGGTATGGCATGAATTATATTGACCATTAATTAGTTTGGGGTCATCTTCTCCTCTCATTCAGGCCAAACAGATAAGAGTCAATGGAGTCACACCACTATGAAACATAAGCAGACAACAAAGCAACACCTATAGACTAAAGCCTCCGTCAGGGTAAACCTGGATATAAGACATCCATTTCCCAGGTGAAGTCTTTGCCATAAGCCACAGACAGTAACACCCTACTTGTGCAGTCCACCACCCAACGCCATCTGCCATAACTGAAGTCTCTGACTTCTCCTCCACCCATACAAAGACTCAGTTGTAAATGTTTTCAACAGAGGAGGGAAAAAAGAAAAAGAAAGCGACTCACCGAATTTGGGGAAATGCTTCCTGGCTGCAGACCCATGCATGCCAAGGTTTTAGCAAGCTCTGCTGAGTTCACCCCACAGTTCGGTGCAACATTTGCTTGGCATCGGATGTGGACGTTCATTTTACAGACTGACAGGGGTGACGGTAGGGATAGAAAGTAAAAGCAAAGGAACAATTAAAATAACTTGGAGGGATTTATTGCTGTGAAATAATTCAGCAATTCCGCTTCAGGAAATATACCGATCTGGATCTACTCTGTGTCTTTAAACTAAAAGGATTTTTGCCACTGATCTCAGAACAAATAAGATTAGGACTCTCATAAGAGAATAAACTCCTGAAAATCAGGAATATATCCCAAACTCTCCAAATAGGATGCCACATTGCCTGAAGCTATTCATAAGCACATGTTTGTCAGGTATATAAATACCATTGCAGCTATGCCTGCAGGTAAAATTAGGATTTCTAATGCCACAGAATTCGCAAAAAACTTCCCCTGCATTTGCAGGTATCTAATTCTAAAGATATACGGTTCAGTGGGAAACGAAAATCTTCCTTGCTCTCAGGCATGGACTCATATTCGCCCTCTTGTGGGAGATGAAGGCAAATGGAAACCGTTTGTTACCCATACGATTTCAGAGTCCGGATCACTGAAACAAAAACATAACACCAGGACATGCTTTCTCATCAATTAACAGTGTGACAGGCAGGGTAGCCAACCTAAAGCAATGACCTTTTTTTCCCCTCGGATGCCTTTTGACTGCCTTATCTCATTAGCTGAGGAAAAGCCTTCAGGTAAAGGCAAAAATGAATGTAGGAAGCAGCAATACCCAAGAATATTTTCAGTAACACCCGTTAAACAAAGTTCTGCTGAGACTGCAAAGTAGAGTCCTTCTGGAAGCCTGAGATTAAAAAAAAAAGATCAGCATTTTTGTTAACTCTTGCAAAGATGAATATTCATTGCTCAGCTTTCTCTTGAAGGTTGTACAAATCAAGCCCACACAGTGCATCAAGAGTCTAAAAATATATGTATTTTGTGAAAAGGCTACAGTAAGAAGCTGCTCACTTTTACACTGTAGGCCCTGCCGCATGATGCCCCAGAGCAAGGAACCGCAGTGGTCACAGAAAGTCGGGACTTTGTAGTTGTGGACGCTGAACTTATGAGGAATGTTGATTCCAAACCTCTGTTCAGTCACCTGAGGCACCAAAAGAAAAGCACAGATTTAAAATCCAAATACGTACATAGAAGCTGATGTTCATTTACATACAGACATTTAAGTGCAAAACTATGAAAATAATTCAAACTCAGAAAACATCCCTATCCATCACCTCACCGAGGCTTACTGCACGTGAACGCTGAGTGACCAACCTCACCTGCTACGAGCCTGCTCTGGTTTCCCTGCCCATCAGGCTGGACTACCTGACAAACCAGACTTTAAAAAGGGCTGTCCAGCCAATTTTAAATTCTTAAAACCAAGTTAGAATTAGAAGTGTGGATTACCTCATCACAAACCAATCACGCTGAAGTGCCACATATAAATTATGTTAGCTACAGCATTTTGTAGCTAAATGGTTTTCAAATTATTAACTTGCATACTATGTGCAAACATGTAACTTTAGGTCAAACTGTTGATTTTATTAAATTTAATATAGAATAGTTTTCCCAGCTCCTCCTAAAATTCTCATTCCTCTTCCCACCCTCCTTGTTATTAACAGTCTTCCATTTCAGGCCCACATTTCGCTTCATCGCTTGCTCTCATCCCCTTTTTAACCTTGTTCTTTTCTAACTGTGAATCATGCATGATCTCAAAGACATCTTAGAAAATGTCAGATCAGCTGAAGAAACCCATCCCCATTGAACCTCTTCATTACTTTCCATTTGGTGTCTCAACATGCAGATCCTGGAAGACTGAGGGGCAACCCACGACTTCACAACGAGAAGTCAGGGGTGGACTGACACAATGAGTTTAAAGCGAGTGGGGCCTCCTCACCCTTCTCTTCTTTTAAAGTAACTTAGAGGTGTTATAAACCCTTCACAATCCTAAAAGAGGGGTGAGGAGACTCAGCATTTAACTTGCACTTTAGCCTGAAGCATTTTAACTTATTTTCATCTGGTTTGGCAAGGGGTCATTTTACAAAGTCTAGAGGCAAGAAATAACGAGCAAAGGCAATTGGTTATCTGCAGTGGAAAGAAGGTTTCTGCATGGCATGCAACACAGAGCTACCTCCTGATTAAAATCATTTCAATTGAATTTTCCTCAAACAGTTATTAAACAATTTCCAGTGACAGAAATGAGACATGCAATGCACAGGGCAGTTTTAGGTGGGGATGTTACTCCTGTCAAATACAGCCAAAACTAGCAAGAAAGAAAACCTTCAGAAACACAAATTATGCAAGGGTTCTTTATTACAACATAAATAATTTCATAGAGTAAAGGTGTGGAGCTATGACTAAACGAGCACTTTAAACTACCAGAAAAGAAAAAAAGAGGCGTAACAAAGGCCAGTGGTTAGATTTTAAAGCCAGAGAAATCCACATTAAGAACTGGGCCCCAAATTTTGATGACAACACAGTTAATCTTGAAAGAAAATTACCAAGGAAAACAGTGGATTTGCTATTTCTTGATGTCTTCCAATGAAGACGCCATGCCTTCCTAAACTATCTGCTAGTCCAACCAGTTACTGGAATTCACAGAATAACAACCAGATGATATTGCATGGCATTTATGCATGTCCCTATTACTCTTCCTCACTTTAAAATCTATGAATAAAGATAACACAGAGTAAATTCTGTCACAGGACAACCTCCAGCAACGCAGAAAACCTCAGGATTCACGAATTATGATGACCCAAAATAACCACCATGACTTTACCTTGAGATCGGTCTTGTTAGTATTGTTTTGGCACGTGCAAGCTGTAACAATTAGATGATGGCAGCGCTTGTGTACAACACAGGTGCATACTAGGAAACAAGAGAGGCATGCTGAAGAGAGCTGTTGAAAGACTCAGAACACATCAACCCATCAGCTGGGTTCTTCAAGGCTCAGCTATATCACCAGGCCACAGTAAAGTTGCAAAAAATAATCGGTGGCTTGGAATTTCCAAAATCTCATAACAGATCCGGAGATGTATCTCCAACCCCATTGCAAGAGAAATTCCGGACTGGATCATTCATACAGCCTAGGAGACAGCTGCCTATATAAAATACGCCCACAGAAATAACAGTGTAACTTCACAAATGAAGTAAAAAATTGCTGTTGAAATTATCCAGTGGAGAGTATTTCTCACAACATACACAAACAATATTAGAGAACACAGGTCAGAGATACCAAAGCCATCCCTACGTTCAGTGGCATAGCGTCTCTTACACTGGATACCCAGGTGAGTCCTGCCCAGGTTAGTTTGTCATTAAGGCTCAGTGCAACGCTTGGATCTGGGGAGCTGGATAACTGCAGTAGAATGGTGCTGTGTCTGGGCTAATTAGCCAGTCACCACCAAGAGGGCTAATCAGCCCTAAAGCAGAGTTGGGTGCTCTCCAGGTCTGAAGCTGGCTTGGCTGGAATGAACTTGGATTCCTCCACTCCATAACCCAGCGTGCACTGTAGACACCACCAAGGACCGTAGCTACTGTCTACATAAGGAGATTCTTATAATGGGAACCGTACGTTGCAGATGTGTTGCAGGGTCCCACGCTATTCTGTTTGTTGCCGACTCGAGCTTGTATTCATAAGGGTCTATCAATAACATTTACTTTCAGCCAGAAATTTTATGCAGGATATCCATTTTGTTTACATGGAGCTACCTTTAACATGAGGACACCAGTGCCCTATTATATTGCACAAGAAACAGGCTAGGTTAGAAGGCTATACTGAGTGACCTGTGAGGCAAGTAATAAAATTAAAAAAAAAAACCAAAAAAAAATATCTTACCATAGAAAAAGGGAAAGGAAGAACAATAATTAAGTGCAAACAAGCACCACATACATCTATACAGCCATTCAGCCAAAACATGCATTCAGACAAAAGTGCTGTGCCAGCCCACAAGGCTGCCCTTTGAAGTCACATCCCTAGTTTCACTTTGTTGAACTACATCGGTGGAGAAAGGAAGAGGGTGGCCATGCCAGTAGGACACTTTGTGTCCCAATACCAGCTGAACACTGTCCTGAAGGGACCCTGGATCTCTCAAGGCTAGCTGGGTGTTGCATGTCCTCAGCAACTCAGTGGATCTGCACAGGAGGAAAATCACGCGTGAAACGCAGCAAGCGGACCCCTCGGTGTTTGCATGAATGTAGGTGGTTGCTCCTGTGTGCACGCAAGCCGTCAGCCTGACAGCTGCTCAAATGCTCAGTTTTGGCTGGCTGGGGAGGAAGAGGAGTGGTGACTTCAGAGAAGCCTGTAACCGCAGGGTGTCCCAGCAGCACGGAGAGCGCTCCTGAGACAGCACATCCTACACACACACACGCTGTGCAGAAGCAGAGCACCTTACCTTGGCACTGGTAGCCCTGCTTCCCAAACACGCCCCTGTTCAAAACAAAACATGAACATAATTTAACATCAGAAAGCCAGTCTTCTTGCAGATCATTTACAGGAGAGAGTGCCAAAATGCAAGAGGATCCCAAATGACCAGATGCCCGGGGCAAAACTGGCCAGCAATAATGGTGCAATTCAGCACAGGGGTGTACAAAGGACTGCAAGGCCCGTAGCTTACAGGACAGGCTGGCAACGTGTGTTATTCCCCATATTCCCCTCCTCACTCTAGTTTCTGAAATACCTCACTATTACAACACACACCACACTTAGTAGACTGATCCCAGCAGCCCACACCCTGTTATTATCTCTCCCACTCCATGCTCTTTTGAGACATATCTAAGTTTTTCTCCCTACTCTGCCTACTCCCCCACATGTATCACCCCACACCTCACACCCCTGATGGCTTTTCTGTTCTCAGGCATTTTCTCTAGTCTTCCAAGCAACTGCTTTTTCTCAGTGTAATCTCAAAGCTCCAACGCAAGTTAATATCTGGGGTCTTTCTTCAAATTGCTTGGGTTACTTCCCCTCCGAAATAATATCTGCGCTCACAAGTGAGGAACACTGCCCCATCCCCACACCCTCCCAGTTTGCTTCCAGCATCATCTCTGGCATCTCTGCAGTAGACTCCAGTTTGAAGGATAAACATACCCTGCTAAATGTGATGGCCAAGGGGAGCCACATCGGTGGCCCTTGGTAAAGTGCTGGGTGACTGATTCATGATTGGGGGTGACACGTCCGCCCTCAAAATGCGAAGGGACGGTAAGCTCCACACCACCGCGTTCGAGCCGTTCTTACCAGATGAACTCCCTGCAGTGTGAGCAGTATGTAGGCTGTCGCAGGTAGGTAGCCATGAATTTGTGCCCGTTCACCTGATGCACTCGCCTTCGCATTGCCCGCTGGCGTTTCCGAGTGAGGTTCTTAAAAATTCGATCCCTCTGGAGGGTCCCTGTGCAGAGTAAAAAAGAAAAAAAAGTTTACATGATCACGCACAGTTATTGCTCCTGGTTTTGCTATGGTACAAAATTCCTTCAAAGACCACAATTACATCCCTGGTTTAGAAGTCGGGGGACCATGCTCCAGAAGAAGGAAAGCATCCAGGACAGGCAACAGAGGAAGTTAATTGCAAAGGCCCCTTTAGCTCAACATTACATTCTTCATCTAGAAGTAACTGCCTCTTCCCATCTTCCTCTCACTCCTCTCCCATGTTGAGACATGCCGCTAACCCATCAGTTCACAAGCTGTAAACAGACCAGAAGCCCAAGGCTAATGAGTTATTATAACTCACAGCTTTTTGGGCAATAACTCCTGAAAACATGACTGTGTGCAACCAACTGACCGGCCCCGCAGGGCAGCGCCCCGCTGGCCAAGCCGAAGCGATGACTTGCTGGGTGAATGGTGCTTATCCACTTTCTCATGCTACACTTCAGAATCACCATTTGCAGCAATTTTGCTTCCTGTATTGGATAAAAAGGCACGACCTAATTTTTCAAGGACTGTTAGTTGTTTGACATGTACCACTCTCAGCTTTCTTTAAAGGGCTCATTTTCCAAAGAGTAGATCATATTTTAAATTTCTGGGAAGCAGGGGCCCAGGAACTGCTGGCATTCAAATCTGAATTGCCCCAAAATTTAACTTAATTTTTTTTTTTTTTAAACTGGGTTTAGTTCAGCCACATAACTGTTTCCTAGCAAAGCTCAAATTACACAAAACAAGTCACTCTTAAAAGGCAGAACTGAGCTCTAGATCAAGAAAGCCATTCCCATACAGCAGCAGCCATTTGACTTGCAAACCACAGCCAGCTGCTCTCTGGGATCCTTGCACAGACCAGGGCAGGCTCAGCTGAGCTTCCCAGATCAAAGCCTCATCTGGGGCACACTCGCCTCGGAAGAATGAAATGAAATTGGAAGTTTTCAGGTTAGTTGCTTTCCAAAGGATAGGATCAGGCCCTGCTAAAAAGTGCATTTTGGGGACAAGCAATGGAGTCTGCTAGAGGTGACTGCACACCAACGTACGTACTCGGGACTCGTTTTGAGCGCGGGCTGGATGCGAGACAAATGCCAGCTATCGCCAAGCCCTCTGCACGGATGTCACGACGCAGGAAGGGACAGGCGGTCTGTAAACTTCCCACCCATCTGATCACCCCGGCGCAGTGGACCGGCAGCAGTACCCAAACACAGCTGTTACCCTGCCACTTCATTTACCCATAAAAAGGGGGCAGAGCATTTCCCTGCTTTCAACTAGCTTTGTTGATTAACTGCTGGGGGAGGGGGGGGGCGGCGGGAAGGGAAAAAGCTGTCAACCTGATCAAGGCTTGAAATGTAAGAGTCCCACATCACAGGCATATTTCCCGGTCCTCTTTGTAGGAGTGGAGATAAGGGAAGCCATCCTGTCAGTACTGAACCCAGCCACTTCAAAGGGCCGCAAGCCACACGATGTATTCCTCTCAGTACTCTTGCCACACAGGTTTAGAAGCAACGCTGGCCATGAAGCTCAAGGGGTTTTTTTTCTGCTGCGTTCTCCCAGCCATTTGTGCGTGTATCCCCTCCACAGGCACTAATGGAAACCTCCTACCCGATGGCGTAACTGCGACATGGAGCACGGTTTGACTTTAAGACAGCTTGGATTTATTTTTAAAATGGAAGTGCATGCTATAAATTAAGATTTTCCCATTAAAACACCAAAAAGGACGTGGTAGGGTGATCCAAGGACTAAACAGAAACCTGCTTTCTTCACCAGAGCTTCAAGCAGCTGGGCAGAGAGACTGGTACAGAAAAGCCTGCCTTTCTAGCGAAGCGCTTAAACGCGCGTTTAATTCCCACTGAAGTCAACAGGACTCAAGGGACCACAGGAACTGCCAGACTGAATCAGAACATTGGTCCACCTAGACCAGCATCCTGCCCCTGTCAGTGGGCCACCAGAAACACATGACAGCAAGATGGAGGAACTCTGCAGCTGGGAGATAATTTGCCTCTTTCCCACACACAAGATGTCATTTTGATCTCCAGAAGTGAGAGCTGGTGTGCAGAGGTTTAATTTCCCTTCCAAACATTTAATCATCATTGCACAATTTCAATAGCCTCATTATCCACCATAGGAAACATGGCCAAGAACTTCAAGAGGTCAACCAGTTCATCCTTCTTCCCCAAAAGAAAGATCAAGAGCCAGTTGCTTTGCTGAGCCCAACGCTCCTGCAGCTTCATGTGAGAATTAAAAGAAAAAAAAATTTCCTTATAATATTACAGAATTTGCCCACCTTTAAATTCAAAAGAACATCTCCTTGATCTAGGTTTAAGCATATGCTTAAGTGTTTTCCTGGATCAGGGCCAAACACCTCAACCGGCAAAGTATCTTGTCTTGGCATTCAGCATGTACAGGAGAACTTTCAAGGCATGGAAAGGAAAGAGCAGGGTTTGTAAGTGGGTGGTAAGCACCTAAGTAAATCACCTAAAGAAGCAATCCAGTTACCAGCTTGCTTCACACCAGCTGCTCTATTAGAAGCCCAACAGCTGATGCCCTTTAAGTTCATGCACTCACATTTACCAGAGTTTAAGAGAATATGTTCCCAATTTAGCTCATGTAATTTCTGGTTTTGTTACGGTTCCCCTCAAGGATCAGCATGGGGTAATTGCTCCCCTGGTGCTCTCCCATGCAGTGAGAAGCCCACACGCAGCCAAGAGCAAACCAGCCTTTTGCACCAGGAATAGGGGACACTTGAAGGCGGTCCGCAAAGCCACCAAGTGGGACATCGCTGCGCGTCCCTGTGGTTTGCCTGCCTTCAGAGAGGCTGCAATTTTCAAATGGCTCAGGGAGACCAAATCATGACAGGCATTTGCTTTTTCATGGGCGGTAGAGGAAGTCTCCATGCTGCCTGCATTGGTGGATCATGATGGATAGATCACTTGGACTCGATGATCTTGGAGGTCTTTTCCAACCTTAACGATTCTATGATCACATCCATGGCCAGCCTTGAGCCTTCTCCTCTGAGCTGTACTTGGCCTGCATCTCCTGTTCTCCAGCCACCGGTATCTCATATGCAGCGTAATAGCTTCCATCTTACAGACCCACTTTTCATTAAAACACATGCCACAAGTTCTTTGTATTTTTTTTTTTAAAGCATCATTCATATTTAAAACGTTCCTCAAATCTCACATTTTCCCACACTACTTCGCTGCATTACTCTGCCAATTTCTCCAGATGCTGCATATCTTCCAGGTGATCCACGCTTACATTCACCTCACTTGACATTATAACAAATCTAAGTGTTACTAAGCAGGAGACTGACTTCAGCAAGGCCTGGATTACTTTTCATAAACAATCAGCTCTTTTGGGTACTGCTCTTCCTATTTCCTGATGCCGTCTCGAGCGAAAAGGAGAGGGAGAGCACAGCACAGCTTCAGCCACACTTCGGGCCCAGGCATAGCTGCAGAAGACCACCTACCACAGGATCTAGTGGATACACATATACAACCACATCCCACAGAATAAATCCTTCTTTCAGAGGGCTTAGGCACTCACCCATCCCACGCACCACACCACGGAGCAGGCAAGTTCAACCCTCCAACGAGGTGCAAGTGATTTTGATATGGTGGAACGTATCGCTCCCAAAACCACCTTCATCCTAACAACCAGGCTCCCCAGCCACTGAGATGGCAGTTCCGCAGCTCGCACCCATCACATCTGCTAAACAGCTCCCACCGCCGCTGGCCAAGAGCTTGCATGCAGAAACCATCAACGCAGCGCTGAAGTCTGCTAGTGGACAGGGTGGCCAACACAGCAGCCCCTCGTGCCTCTCACCTTTAGCGTCAGAGGGTGTGAAGTCATCATAAACATTTTCCCCACTCATGTTCTGCATTCTGCCCAGTTTCCTACAGAATATATATATTTTCCTTCTGCATGTGGAGAGCATTTTACAAAACAAAGCAGCTCTAGACCGCTTTAGGAGAGCCAGACTTTTAAAAGCCTCTAATCTCTGGTAAAGCACCAACCACCATGAATGGTTCAAATGTCCAAATACTGCTATAAAAACAGGCAAGTAATCGCCCAGCGAAGGGAGTTGTCCACATCCATCGTTAAATTTGGACCTCTGTAACTATGGGGTATTTACTGTGCCTGGCTATGTGCAAAAGTAACTACAAAGTTAAATACTAAAAAGCCTCTTCCCCTTTCCTCCTCTCCTCTCATGCCTAACACGTGTTTATGGCAGTGGAAATTATGCACATGGAGGGAGAGGAGAATAAATAACCCACCGAGTCATCTGAGGACATCTGCATGCACTAGCATACCGCTCAGCAGCCTCGTTACGGGGGAAATTAAAGGGGGAATCCCCTTTCTCCCCCCCCCCCCCCCCTGTGGTGGAGTTATGTGAGTTTCCCCCCTTTCCCCCCCCCCCCCCCCCCATTTTTTTATTCTGGGGGGTAATTTCAGTTACGTCCTTACAGCGCTGACATAACTACAGTAGTAAGACAAGAGGCAGAGCTGCGGGATGAAGTGTTGTGTGTGTAACTGTTTGCCTCAAGTAGTTAAAGCCTGTCAGGTCTCATCTATCAGAAATCATTCTCACCATCGTGCTATCAACCGCTGCCATAACGCCGGCAGGACAACGGTTGTTTGGGTACATCCCGAGACATGACATTTTCTAGTGTTATACTCCTCTAGACATCAATGGAATTTTCCTTTTAAAGAAATAAAGATATTCAAAAAGCAATGTAATAGCCTTAAGGCAATAATACTAACAGATTAGAACTTAATTAAGCCTTTTTTTTTATTAGTAGCAGTAACAGTGCTCCCCTGGGAGCACTGCAAGCAAGATCCCGTTGCACGGAGCGACACACGAGCACGGAGCGGAGACCAACCACTGACCTTACTGGACTGTAAAAAGCAAGGCAGCGGATTGACAGAGCCCTCACCTCCCACGAGCGCCGCAGCACTGAACAACCATTTCGCATC